GCCATCAGATTGTTGGATTGGAAGGATGGATTATTTGATGAATAGAAGGATGGATGAATGGATTGTTTGATGGGATGGATGGACAGAAGGGTGGATGGATGGTTGGGAGGCCATACAGATAGAAGGATGGATGGACGGACGGATGGAAGGATCAATGGATGGATGGACAGATGGATGGAGGGAAGGATGGATGGATGGACAGATGGATGGATGGTGCAAAATATTTAGTATTCCTCTCCCCCTCTATTATGTACAAACGTTGGGGGAGGTACTGGAAGGCACTTAGCTCCTCCCTCTTCCTGTCAGCCATGAATGGCCCTCTGGTGGTGGCCATTTTCTTGTAGCCCAAGCATGGAGACATCCAGCAGAGGCAGTCCTTCCCCATAACACTGATTAGTGGGGAGGGGGGGTGGGCGCTATTGTTGCAGGAAATGAACGGAAGAGAGTTGGGAGCGATGGAGGCAAACTGCAGCGCCCTGACGGAGAGGATATTACGGCTCACCCTGGAGATCATCTACCTGCTGACCGGGGAGGTGAGGAGGATTCTGGGAAAAAATCCTTTTTTTTTTTCTAGCCGATTCATGCCTGAGAAAATGAAAAGTCGATTTCTGCGCTCAGGGGGGGGGGGGGGGGGGGGGGGGGGCGTGCAGAACGGAGACACTGATGATAGGTTAGAATGAAACAACGACTCCGCCCACACCAACAGCTCACGTATCAATTAAAAAAAAAAATCATAGGCATTGCCGAGTAATCAGCAATGGAAAAATCATTCTGGCGAAACGCGTAGGAAAGAGCGCTGAGGTGTCAATGCAGAGACAGATGTCCTGGGGTCTGGCTTACTGCACGGCATTACCACAGCTGGATCGGCCCATTGCAATGAGGTTACAGCTGGATGTACAGTATTACAGTTGCATTTTTTATTTTCCACCGCTGATTACTCAGCATTGCAGTTCTATTTTTCCACCTCTGATTACTCAGGATTGCATTTTTAATTTTCCACCTCTGATTGCTCAGCATTGTATTTCTAATTTTCCACCGCTGATTACTCAGCATTGCATTTTTAATTTTCCACCACTAATTACTCAGCATTGCATTTTAATTTTTCCACCGCTGATTACTCAGTATTGCCTTTCTATTTTTCCACCGCTGATTACTCAGGATTGCATTTTTAATTTTCCACCATTGATTACTCGGCATTGCAGTTTTAATTTTCCACCGCTGATTACTCAGCATTGCATTTTAATTTTTACACCATTCATTACTCAGCATTGTATTTTTCATTTTCCACCGCTGATTACTCGGCATTGCATTTCTATTTTTACACCGCTGATTACTCAGCATTGCATTTTTAATTTTCCACCGCTGATTACTCGGCATTGCATTTTTCATTTTCCATCACTGATTACTCTGCATTGCATTTTTAATTTTCCACCGCTGATTACTCAGCATTGCATTTTTAATTTTCCACCGCTGATTACTCAGCATTGCATTTTTCATTTTCCACCCCTGATTACTCAGCATTGCATTTTTCATTTTCCACCTCAGATTACACAGCATTGCATTTTTTATTTTCCACCGCTGATTACTCAGCATTACATTTCTGTTTTTCCACCGCTGATTACTAAGCATTGCAGTTTTAATTTTCCACCGCTGATTACTTAGCATTGCATTTCTAATTTTCCACCACTGATTGCTCGGCAGTGCTTATGGTATTAGATAGCTAGTTGCACGGGGCGGTACAGATTTCCTGTTTCCATTGTATGTAATCATTTTTATTGTCTCTTTACAGGATAACATAGTTGCAAAAAAGACGTCGGTAGATGGACAGAATCCCATTACGGTTCCTCTACATTTCCTACTGATCGAAGAGAGAAACGATGAGAAGAAGATTCTAGAAGTCACCCGGAAGATCATTGATTTGCTGACAGGAGAGGTGAGCGGTGCCGAGAATTCTGGGACATTCTCCAGTAACAGACAAGGGATGTGTCTGGATGGTGACTGTATCATTGTGTGTGTCAGGTTCCCCGTCCTTCGTATCCCCCATGGAAGGTCACAAGGTAGAAGAGGAGGGATGTGTGGGGGACGATCGGTTGTGCAAGTTTGAGGAGATCCATCCAGAGGTCAGACCAGGTGAGATATAAACACTGGAGATATACGCGCTGACATTAGGTCGCGGTTTATTATTTTGGCTCAGTGCCTCCCAGTCTTGTTCTAGTCTTGGACCCGTGTTAGGTGACCTCTTACAGTCCGTGATGGTCTACTTGTAAATTGCCAGTTGATATACCAGAAGTGGGTGGCACCCAGCATTGTGTCCATTGTTTGCTTCAGGGGCCCCTCCCAGAACAGATCACTAATCTTTCCTGAAAAGTCAATCTGACGCAACGCGTAGGGAGGAGCACTGAGCTTCAGGTGTCTATGCAGAGTCCATGTTCTCTGTCTCCCATTGGACCCGTGTTAGGTGACCTCTTACAGTACGTGTTGGTCTACTTGTAAATTGCCCGTTGATATACCAGAAGTGGGCGGCATCCAGTATTGTGTCCATTGTCTGTTTTGGGGGCCCCTCCCAGAACAGATCACTAACCTTTCCTGAAAAGTAATTCTGACGTAATGCGTAGGGAGGAGCACTGAGCTTTAGATATCTACGCAGAGCTGATGTTCTCTGTCTCCCATTGGACCCGTGTTAGGTGACCTCTTACAGTCTGTCTTGGTCTACCTTTAAATTGCCCGTTGAGAAACCAGAAGTGGGCGGCACCCAGCATTGTGTCCATTGTCTGCTTTGGGGGCCCCTCCCAGGGCAGATCACTAACCTTTCCAGAGTAATCAGCATCGGGGAAGTCATTCTGACACAACTCGTAGGGAGGAGCACTGAGCCAGTTTTTATGGGTAGTGTTCCGCTTCAATAAATAGTGATGATAATTCTTCCAGCGAACTAAGGAATGAACAGATCACTAACCTTTCCCGAGAAGTCATTCTGACGCAACGCGTAGGTTGGAGCACTGAGCTTCAGGTGTCTATGCAGAGCTGATGTTCTGTATCCCATTGGACCCGTGTTAGGTGACCTCTTACAGTCCATGTTGTTCTACTTGGAAATTGGCCGTTGATATACCAGAAGTGGGCGGCACCCAGCATTGTGACCATTGTTTGCTTTGGGGGCCCCTACCAGAATAGATTACTAATCTTTCCGCAGTAATAAGCATCAAGTAATTCTGACGCAACACGTAGGGAGGAGCGTTGAGCTTCAGGTATCTACGCAGAGTCGATGTTCTCTCTCCCATTGGACCCTTGTTAGGTGACCTCTTACAGTCTGTGTTGGTCTACTTGCAAATTGCCCGTTGATATACCAGAAGTTGGCGGCACCCAGCATTGTAACCATTGTCTGCTTCGGGGGCCCCTCCCAGAACAGATCACTAACCTTTCCAGAGTAATCAGCATCAGGGGAAGTCATTCTTACGCAACGCATAGGGAGGAGCACTGAGCCTCAGGTGTCTATGCAGAGCCGATGTTCTCTGTCTCCCATTGGACCCATTTCAGGTGAGCCCTTTTAGTCTACTTTTAAATTGCCCGTTGATATACTAGAAGTGGGCGGCACCCAGCATTGTGACTATTGTTTGCTTTGGGGGCCCCTCCTAGATTGTCCCGCGCAGAATCCAGTTTTTATGGGTAGAGTTCCCCTTTAATAAATAGTGATAATTCTCCCAACGAACTAAGGAATGAACAGATCACTAACCTTTCCCGAGAAGTCATTCTGACGCAACTCGTAGGGCGGAGCACTGAGCCTTAGGCGTCTATGCAGAGCCAATGTCCATTGTTTGCTTTGGGGGCCCCTCCTAGATTGTCCACCGCAGAACCAGCACCACCTAGAACCCTTCTATATCGAATAAACACAATGGATTCAGTCAGTGTGTGTGTTTCCTACAGATGGATCCAGTAATGGCAACCCACCAGAGAGATGTCCCCGTCCTTTGTATTCCCGGGATTCCACACAGGAAGGTCACACCATCCCTCACCATCATCAGGTAGGTGGATCCAGTAATGGGAACCCACCAGAGAGATGTCCTTGTCCTCTGTATTCCTGGGACTCCACACAGGAAGATCACACCACCCCTCACCATCATCAAGGTAGATGGATCCAGTAATGGGAACCCACCAGAGAGATGTCCCCGTCCTCTGTATTCCCGGGATTCCACACAGGAAGCTCCCACCATCCCTCACCATCATCAGGTAGATGGATCCAGTAACAGGAACCCAGCGGAGCGATGTCTCCATCCTCTGTATTCCTGGGATTCCACACAGGAAGGTTACACCATCCCTCACCATCAGCAGGTAGATGGATCCAGTAATGGGAACCCACTAGAGAGATGTCCCCGTCCTCTGTATTCCTGGGATTCCACACAGGAAGGTCACACCATCTCTCACCATCATCAGGTAGATGGATCCAGTAACGGGAACCCACCGGAGAGATGTCCCCGTCCTCTGTATTCTCAGGATTCCACACAGGAAGATCCCACCATCCCTCACTATCATCAGGTAGGTGGGACTATGTTTATCTCAAGCTTCACTTAACTGTGTTTATGTTCTTCGATGTTATTTTATGTAGATTATTGGTTCTCTGAATCATTTTGTGATTTTAGGGGAAAGAGGTGAAAACCGAGGTTAAAGACGAAGAAGACATATGTGTGAGGAGAAATCTGCCGTCTATGAAGGAACCTGAAATGATGGTGACAACTACCAAAGAGGAATCTTCTCTCTATATCAGCACAGGTAAGTATTGTATGCACAGAATGCAGCACTTCATGGAGAGCAGATCTTCTCATCATACAGTAAGGTGAGGTTCAATCATAAATGGTAGACCGGTAAAGTAGTGATGATAATTTCATGTGTGATCTATTGTAGGAGGACCAGGAAAGGACTTCTTGATTGCTAGTTTTGGGGGTTTTTTTTAAATAGAAAAATGATTGTTTTATCAACATAGAGAATGTCTCCACTATTATCTATAAGATCATGGATGTACCTATCCTACCACCTAATGTGCCCAACAAATGAGGAGGAGATACTGTACACCATATAAAAGGTCCATCTCCATTCCTCAATATAACGTCACGTTCCCAACAAATGAGATACTGGACACCATATGAAAGGTCCATCTCCATTCCTCAGTATAATGTCATGTTCCCAACATATGAGGAGGAGATACTGGACACCATATGGAAGGTCCATCTCCATTCCTCAGTATAATGTCATGTTCCCAACATATGAGGAGGAGATACTGGACACCATATGGAAGGTCCATCTCCATTCCTCAATATAAAGTCATGTTCCCAACAAATGAGGAGATACTGGACACCATATGAAAGGTCCATCTCCATTCCTCAATATAACGTCATGTTCCCAACAAATGAGGAGATATTGGACACCATATGAAAGGTCCATCTCCATTCCTCAATATTACGTCATGTTCCCAACAAATGAGGAGGAGATACTGTACACCATATGAAAGGTCCATCTCCATTCCTCAATATAACGTCATGTTCCCAACAAATGAGGAGGAGATACTGGACACCATATGGAAGGTCCATCTCCATTCCTCACTAAATATTTGTACCTACTTCTACATCAGAGGTCATAGTAACAGTAGAGTAACAGGTGACCACTAGATCGACATACACAACTCGTTTCTGCAAAATATAAACAATGAACAAGCTGTTAATATGAATAAAAAACAAGTATTTTCAACAGGCGGACACGATGGCTGGAATATTTCAGAAGGACATCTTATTTTACCTTCAGATTATAACGAAGATGGTGGCCTGGCATGTTATTCTGCAGAAGGCCTTGGCACCCAATATATACATCACAGACTTGATGATCTGGAGAGCTCAGCAGATTCTTTTATTTATGAGGAATCCAACGATAAACCTGATGTCCAGGAAAGCTGCCACAGTGGAGGTGAATCTCCAGATCCTTCCATTACCGAGGAATATTCCTATAATATTTTGGATACAGGAAACCATGCTGCCGAGTTTCCCTTCCCGTGTTCAGAGTGCGGGAAAGGTTTTAAAAGGAAGAAAGTTCTCCGCATACATCTGATGGGCCATGCTGGCAAGAAGATCTATTCTTGCCCGGAGTGCGAAAATTTGTACCTAACGAACTGTGGCCTGGTAGCACACAAGAGACTTCACGCCGGCGAGAAGAACTTCAAGTGTTCTGAGTGCGAAGAGTGTTTCGGCCTCAAATCAGAACTCACTGCTCACCAGAAGGTCCACTCCGAGCCCTTCTCCTGTTCAGAGTGCAACAAAACCTTTAGAAAAAGACAGCAGCTCACGCGACACCAGAGAACGCACACGGGGGAAAAGCCCTATTCATGTTCTGAGTGCGGAAAGTCTTTCACCCTCCGAATGCACCTCAAAAGGCACCATTTGGTCCACACTGGAGTGAAGCCCTTTCCTTGTCCTGAGTGTTGGAAGTCCTTCTCCACCAAAGCCAACCGTGACAATCATGTAAGAGTCCACACTGGCGAAAGGCCTTATTCCTGCGCAAATTGCTGTAAACGCTTTGCGCGGAGAGAGACGCTAGTTGTCCACCAAAGAAACCACTGTAAAAGTTCTAGAGGCCTTTCAAAAGCTGAATAGTTCTGTCCACAGAACGAAGGTTCAACTTTGGTGGGAAATCTGATGAGGTGAGGTTCAGTGGCGTTACTGAAGCCAAAGCAGGCCACGTGGCTGCTGTGGGTCCGGAGATTGGAAAGGGCGTCCTTGCGCATGTAAAGATAACTCGGATCAGTATGGTATCATGAGGGGTTGGGAAGGTTGAGTATCATGTTGACTCTGACCCTCCCGGGAAGTCTCCAGTCTAGAAGAACGGATGGAGGAGCTTTGAGGTCATCTCTATTGTAGAGGCTGCTGGGTGTCCTAGCAGTTCAGCCCATTCCTGTTGTGAAGGGAACGTCACCATTGGCTGTGGGGAAGCAGCTAACATGAAAGAAGATTGCCTTCCAATGGGTAAAGTAGTAGGGATGAGCTTGCCTTTGTATGGACCATGTTCGGGTCCAAACCTGGAAGCCAGTTGTCATTCTTGCTGCAATAAGGCGGGGGGGGGGGGGGGATTCCCCATTACAAAGGGTCGACGATGCTCATGATGTCATTGACCTAATATGACTACATGGGTCTGAAACTTGGTTGGAAGCCAGTTGCCATTCTTGTTCCAGTGAGCGATTCCCCACTACAAAGGGATGACGATGCTCATGACATCATTAACCTATTATGACCACATAGGTTCAAACCTGGAAGCCAGTTGTCACAATTTCTCAGGTGAGTAGGGGGTGAGGGATTCCCCATTACATAGGTTTGATAATGCTCATGACATCATTGACCTGTTATGACCACATGCGTCCAAACCTGGAAGCCAGTTGTCATTCTTGCTCCAATAAGTGGGGGAAGGGATTCCCCATGACAAAGGGGTGACGATGCTCATGACATTAACCTAAGACGACTAAATGGGTCTGGGCTTGGGAACCAGTTGTCATTCTTGCTCCAGTGAGTGAAGGGTGAGGGATTCCCTATTAGAAAGGGTCAACGATGCTCATGACATCAATAACCTATTATGACCACATGGGTTCGAACCTGGAAGCCAGTTGTCATTCTTGCTCCAATAAGTAGGGGAGGGATTCTCCATGACAAAGTGATGACGATACTCATGGCATCATTAAACTATTATGACCACATAGGTTCAAACCTGGAAGCCAGTTGTCACAATTGCTCCAGTGAGCAGGGGGCGAGGGATTCCCCATGACAAAGGTTTGACGACGCTTATGACATCATTGACCTATTATGACCACATGGATTCGAGCCTGGAAGCCCAATAAGCGTGGGTTTGAGGGACATTGACCTACTATGACCACATGGGCTCTAGCCTGAAAGCTAGTTGTCACAATTGCTCCAGTGAGCAGAGGGTGAGGGATTCCCCATGACAAAGGCTCGACGATGCTTATGACATCATTGACCTACTATGACCACATGGGTTCTAGCCTGGAAGCCCAATAAGTGGGGGTTGAGGGACATAATTAACCTACTATGACCACATTGGTCTGAACAAATGCGACCTTGTCTCTTCTCAGAAGGTTATTTAAAGCATGAACATGAATGAAGCCTACAAGGGATAGCTGGAAGTGCACACCGAGAGCCGCCCAATTGTGGCAGGAAGGCTTCACCTCCTGAACCACGGCCTCTAACGCGTTTCGCCCATCATTGGCTCCATCGTATGACGCGATGTGCACTTCCATCTCTCCTTTGAATGCTCCTGAGTATCGGGGAAGATGAGGCCGGTGGAAGCTGCACCCAACAAGGATTGACTCACCAAGTGACGGAACTGGTGGAGCCTGGCCTTACACATATGATTGGGGTTCCAGAAACCAATGAAGGGAGCACCAGACCACATGGTACAAGAGTTTCAATCACTTGACTGCGCTATAGTTGAATGATGGCTACGGCGTGGTCGTCCAGTTCTGGAAAGGGTGTCATATGACGTCCTCCAAGAACATGTCCCCCAGCGGAGCACACTCGGCGCTGTCTGTGGTTGTTGTGTCCTTTGGACACAGCTGATCACATGACACGGTAAAGGGCCAATCACAGCAGCCATTTACCACATGATCAGCTGTGTCTAATCACAGCTGATCATCATGGAAATACACTAGCTGGTCATCGGCAGTACTTTCCTCACATTGTCACAGCGTGAGGACAGTACTGCCGATAATCGGCAACTGTGAAAGGATTCGTCTACACTGATGATCAGGGCACTGATTATCGATGTAGCCACAAAAGTGCCCAACAGTGCTTCCCATCAGTTCCCAACGGTGCTTCCCATCAGTTCCCAACAGTGCTTCCCATCAGTTCCCAACAGTGCTACCCATCAGTTCCCAACAGTGCTTCCCATCAGTGCCCAACAGTGCTGCCAATCTGTGACCATCAGTGCTCCCAATCTGTGTCAGTCAGTGCTGCCCATCAGTGCCCAAGCGTGCTGCCTATCAGTGTCCATCATTGCCACCGATTTGTGCCAGTCAGTTCTGCCAATCAGTGCCCTTCAGTGCTGCCTATCAGTGTCCATTATGGCCACCTATCAGTGCCCATCAGTGCAGCCTGTTAATGCCGCTTCATCCATGCCCATCAGTGCTGCCCAAGAGTGCTTCCCATCAGTGCTACCAATCTGTGCCCTTCAGTGCTGCCTATTAGTGTCCATCAGTGCTGCCAATCTGTGCCCATCATTGCTGCCAATTTGTGCCAGTCAGTGGCCATCAGTGATGCCTATCAGTGCTGCCCATCGGTGCACAACAGTGCTACCAATCTCTGCCCATCAGTGCTACCAATCTGTGCCAGTCAGAGCCCTTTAGTGCTGCCTATTAGTGTCCATCAATGCCCATCATTGCCACTTGTCAGTGCTGCCAATCTGTGTCAGTCAGTTCTGCCAGTCAGTGCTGCCTATCAGTGCCCATCATTGCCACCCATCAGTGCTGCCCAACAGTGCTTCCCATCAGTGCTACCAATCTGTGCCCTTCAGTGCTGCCTATTAGTGTCCATCCGTGCTGCCAATCTGTGCCCATCATTGCTGCCAATTTGTGTCAGTCAGTGGCCATCAGTGCTGCCCATCGGTACACAACAGTGCTACCAATCTCTGCCCATCAGTGCTACCAATCTGTGCCAGTCAGAGCCCTTTAGTGCTGCCTATTAGTGTCCATCAATGCCCATCATTGCCACTTGTCAGTGCTGCCAATCTGTGTCAGTCAGTTCTGCCAGTCAGTGCTGCCTATCAGTGCCCATCATTGCCACCTATCAGTGCAGCATGTTAATGCTGCTTCATCCATGCCCATAATTGCTGCCTATCAGTGCCCATCAGTACCGCCTCATCAGTGCACATCAGTGAAGGAAAAAATATAATAGAAACAAAGAAAAACTTTTTTTTTTTTTTTTAGTCTTTTTTTTTGTTTATAGTGCAAAAAAATAAAAACCCCTTAGTGCTCATTACATACCACCAAAAGAAAGCTGTATTTGTGTGAAAAAAAATACGGGTACAGTGTCGCATGACTGCGCAATTGCGACGGCGCTGAAAGCTGCAAATTGGCCTGGGCAGGAAGGGGAGGAAAGTACCCGGTCCCACATATAAAATACCCGACGTGTATTGGGGGCCAAACCACTCCCCCTTCATCAGGACTACAAAGGAGTATATAAACATAAATATGAATATAAATATGAACGAATGAATGATAAAAAAATGTATATCTGCGGTACTGCTGCAAATACACATTACGGAATTTATTTCATTCTGTGATTTTTCAGTAACTGCACGGACATTCCTGTTTATAGCGTTCATATTTATATTTATACTTTTTGCAGCTCAGATGAAAAGGAGGGATTTTGGTGTCCGAAACGCGTTGGGGCATTGTATGTGAGTCATTCAAGTGATATAGACTCATCACTTGGTCTGGGGCTCCTTTCTCTTGTTTGCTCCTCCTCCCGAGCCTGGAGTACATTTATTGCTTTCAGAGCATCTGCTGCAGCCTGGCCAGCTGTCATGGCAGGGCTGTGGAACAGACAGGCAGGCCTAGTGGCAGGGTAACGCACTGACTGACAACAACCACCACCCACAGACCGAAGTCCCTCAGGGCGCGGAGTCTAAGTCCCAGGCTGCCCTTCACCAGGGCCCCTGATGGTGGGGATGGACTTGACGCAGCCAGGAACCAGGTCGCGGCCCCCGACACCTTAGCTGCGGTAATGGCCGCCACCAATGGCGTGTAGCTGGTAGGAATGACAATAGCGTAGTCAGGCAGGCTGGGTCGACAACAACGGGACAAAACGGTACAGAACAGTGGACAAGAATCACAGGTCACGGGCCGGGTTCAGCAACGGAAGGTCAGATCAAAGGAAAACACAGAGAATGGTCTAGTCACAAGCCGAGTCAGATTCCAGGAGAGTCACGAGAGTATGAACAGAGCAGTAGCAACACCAAGACACACCTTATCACCATATCACCTTTTAGATAGCACAACCCCCCCAAATCCTCCTCCAAGGCATAAAATCCTCTACCCCTAACCCAATTTCCCCTCCACATCACTACCCCTGGGAAAATCCCCCTCCTCCCAAATTTCCCCTCCTAGCACAAATACCCTCCATCATCCCTACCCACACAAATCCCCCCTCCTCCCAAAAAAAACACTTTCCCCCCTCCTAGCACAAATTCCCCCCCCCCCCCCACTATATCTTTTCTAGTCTCCCCCCAAATCCTCCCCCTATCACAAATCTACCCCTTCCAAAAATTTCCCCTCCCCAAAATCCCCCCCAAGCAATCCCCCCCCCCCAGCACAAATCCCCTCCCCCAAATTTCACCATCCTAGCACATTTACCCCTCCAATTATCTCACCAGCACAAATTCCACCCCCTCCCCCCTCCTAGCACCAATCCTCTTCCCCCCCACCCAACCCTTTTCGATCCCCCCCCAAATCACCACTCCCTAATCACAAACCTTCTCCCTAAAATTTCCCCTCCAATCAAGTCCCCCCCCTCCCACCCCCCCAGCACAATTTCCCTGCCCCACTATCCATTGTGAGCTCCCCTGCACCCCCCCAAACTCACTGATTTCACAG